CTCTTGGCACACAGGGCGGTGGGCAGCACCTCTCTCCCGGCAGTGGCGGGACTGTCCCAGCAGAGGGGACATGGCCAAGTTCCTGAGGCTGCCCATCACCCGTGTACCAGGCAGCATGGCCCTGTCCCTGCAGGGGCTATGCCCGGTGGTGGGTGTCCAAAAGGAGGGCTTGTCCAGGAGTAGAGCCTGGGACTTCTCACACCCTAAGTGAGAATCATAGCCCTAGACCAATGAGCTGTGATGTGCAGCTGCCCGGGCACCCCCCAGCCTGTGCCAGGCACTGGGGCGCCGGGGGAGCAGTGCTGTCTGGGGATCCCGGGGCCCCAGGAGCCACTTTGTGGGAATGGGTCCTGCCGCCAGGCCCTGGGGAGCAGAGCAGGGCTGAACATGTGTTCACGGGGATGCTCCCGTCTTGACCAAGGGCATGATTTTCTGGACACATATCCTGGGGTCAGGGGCTACCTGTAGCTATGGCAGGGTTGGCACAGTGCCATTCCCATGCCCACACTACCCTGCACCACAGTCCCAGGCAGAGCTGCCCAGTGGGGATGTCATCCCACCTGTTCCTGGTCACCACAGGGGCTGCGCGCGGCAGTGGGTGTCCAAAAGGAGGGCTCGTCCGGGATTTGAACCCGGGACCTCTCGCACCCTAAGCGAGAATCATACCCCTAGACCAACGAGCCGGTGACAAATAAGCAAATTAAGGTCCGTGTCCTCCATGTGCTGAAGGCTCCGAAGCCGGAGGCAGCACTCCAGACGGGGTCTCCCCAGAGCGCAGCAGAGGGGTAAGCCTTCTTTCGTATCCGAATTTTAAAGTACTTTAAGACAGGTGAAATGCCATAACCCACCACAGGCAAATCCCGGACGCGTTTTGGGGGGTGTGAACTGAAGCACAGAAGCCAGTGATGCCGTGCGGGGTCAGCCTGCGCAGGGACTGGGTCTCTGCCCCTCCATCCCTCGGGCGCTGTGTTCAAGGGCGGCGACCCACAGCCCGTGCCGGCTGGGCGGACGCCGGCTCCCACGCCGGGGCTGCGGGACAGAGCCGGGTCCGGGGGAGCCACTGCGCAGCCGAGAGAGTTCCCACTGCGGGAAGAGCCCGACGGCCGCCTCCGCCGGCGTCCCTTCCCTCCGCGCCCCGCCGGGGAGCTCGCACAAATGGATTCCGCACAAAATCCCTGCCGGGCTGCACGTTTCCCAGCACCTCTCGTTTCGGAACCGTCAGGCGGATGGTGAACATCTGTGGCCGGCATGGCTCTGCCGCGCACACCCAACCGTGTCCATCGCCTCCCTGAGAAACCATCTCCTTCATCTGACGTGAAATCCCCCAGCTTTTCATCTCCAGTTACACCACCGCGTCAACAGCTTTCTCAGGAACCGAGAAGTGACGAGACGCCCGACTGTGGTGCTCCCGCTGCGAGGCGTTTCTCCAAAACACCCTTCTGTCTTATTTGAACTTATAGAGACTTTAAAAACTCTCCAATTATACCAAATTTGAAATGGATCTCCACCAACAAAATTTTTGTCATCATTTTTACATTTTAATAAATACTTCCTTCCCAGCATTGTAATGTAGATAAAGAGTCCCTCAGGGACCTAAACTCATCTTCGCTACCTTAAAATACAATTAACAAACACGATCCATATTCCCCCCCCCCCAAGCCTTCCCTCAAAATGACACACACAGAGCAAATTCAGGGCTTTCACTTCCCTTCCTTTCCGTTTCCACAAGTGTTTAAAGGCTTTGCCAACATACGAAGCTCTGCGCTTTCCGTACTGCTTAGGTGTAACCATCAGCTTTGCACAGCACGAGGGAGAATCGCCCAACTGGAATTTGGATTTATCCACCTCAGGGAAGTGAAGGCTCTGAAAGGCCCCGTCTGAAGTCTCTCGCTGGGTACCCCGAGCTATCCCCGACCGGCAGCGAAGAGACCGGACCACTCTGTTCCCCAAGAATTAATCCGTTCATTCCTAACTCGGATACGCACCCCGCTCCACTCAGCGCTCCTGCTCTCTCAATCCGGGGAGAAATCCCAAGCTGTGAACCACGAAGGGTGCACTGAACAGCGCGAGAATCCCATTGCTTTTCCCCAGGAAACTCAGGAACCGGGCAAAGCGCGAGAGGAACAGAGACTGCGCCATGTGGGAGGAGGTCTACAGAGGGGCCTCGGGCTGTCAGGAATAACTGCTGTCAGGTCTCTTGCCAAAACCTCCAATAAAAAGCCAAAACCAAAAAACTGACTTCCACCATTTGGAGGAATGAGGACGTTCCCCGCTGAGGCAGGACCAGTATTTATTGTACCCCCAAATCTCTTGGTGCCTTGTGAGCTCGAGTACAGCGACACCAGACATTTGCTTTAACTCATCCCCGAATCACTCCCCGTCAATCTCTACTTCAGTCAAGGCACAAGACGCAGAAACTAAAGGTTACTGTCCGTATGCACAATGCGAAGCAGCGAAGATGACAAAGCGGTAAAGGAGGATGCTGCCGTGTTTGAAGTGGGAGAAGCAGCTCGCTGGATTCAACACAATTCAGAATTTGAGGGGAAGGTGGGCTGGAAATACGTTTTTAGATTCTCATGCATCTCCAATAAATTATATACTTTCCCAGCTAAGGGAGAACGACAGTGGGGACTGTAAGAATATCTCCATCGGGCACGGACGATAGGCGAGATCAACATTTTTACATGCTGAAGCTGTCGTGTCACCGACACGGGGATCCCCCAACAGCTCTGTTATACGCCACAGACAGAATATTCCGTTACTATCAAGAAGAATGCAAACACACACACACACACACACACACACACACAGACTGGCCAAAATGAATCATTCCTAGTTGAAGGCTTTAGATGAAGCGCCACGTAAAGGCACGTGCAGCCTCAGCCCAAGGAATGTATTGCGCTGTGCCTTGTGGGCAGACGGGAACGGAGAGACGCGAGTCTGCAGAAGGCGGC